GCAGGAAGGGGTGGTGATGGCCGACGCGGCGGAAAGTTGGGGGGAAGAGTCGGTGTTGCGGAGGCAGCGGCTGGGGCTCCGGTGGTGAGACAGAAAAGGAGGCAGTGGGAGGGGAAGTGGCGACGACGGTGGTGGTGCTAGTGGTGTTGGTGTCGCTACTTTGACCCAGCGGCGATGTTAGCGATATTCTAGGCACACTGCAAGTAAGGCAGTCTGGTGCGGCAGAATTGGAATAGTTCTATTGAGAGACTGCAATGTGCAGTGGCGTTTGGGAGAGTAAGCCGTGGATGGCGGTGCAGTGTGCGACGGAGCTGCAACCAGCGACGGCGTCGACGCGGTGGGGTTGGGGCGACGGTTATCAGATGGATCCTGACTTTCGGAATATGGAGTCAAGGGCAGAAATGCGGTGGCGGTGTATGAGTGTGTGGCAGAAGCAACCACGAGAGCAGCAACTACCTAGAACAATTCCTGTTTGTTTTTTTAACGACGCAGCCATAGAGCCCGTCCAAGTATCTTGTGGAAGTTGACATGATGAAGATAGAAGATAAGGCCATTCAATAATGTCCCTGGAATTACATGTGTTGAAAGATTAAGCAAATCTTATTCTTGATATGAGTTGAACTTATTATTCAGTAACTCTATATGTAGTGTGTGGTTTACATGGAAAAGTCACTTCATTGTGTATGGACACGTCGAACGGAACGTGAAGGGACAGAGGTTGAATCAATGTGGCGGTGTCGGAACCCTGGCTCTGACGCAGAGCGGCGGTGGCGGTGGCGGTGGCGGTGGTGGTTTCGTTGACGGTAGTGAATGCGGTGGTGATTGCACTGACAGGAGAGATGTCAATGAATGTGACGCCAGTAGTGCTGGTAGTAGCGCTGGTTCTGACGCTAACGGTGGTGTTGGCGGTAACTGAGACAGTGGCAGCAACGTTTACGGTAGTGGTGGCAGCGGAAGTAGCGCTGACAGAGGTGTTGGCGGTGGTGATGACGATAGCGTGGCGGTCGCGGTGGCAATAGCCGTAGTGGTGGCGGTGGCGGTGGC